TAGTATGCAAATTATCAAGATACACAAGTAAACCAAGCCATGAACATTGGAAAGCTATTAGAAGAATTCTTGGTTATCTTAAAAAGACAAAAAGCTTGGTTTGATTTACTCAGATTATCTAGTGGTCTTAGAAGGATACACTGATGCAAGTTGGATCACTAGTAAGAGTGATAACGAATCTACTTCGGGTTGGATCTTTACACTTGGAGGAGGTGTAATAAGTTGGGCATCAAAGAAACAAACATGCATCTCACATTCTACAATGGAATCTGAGTTTATTGCTTTAGTAGTAGCAAGCAAAGAAGCAGAATGGTTGAGAAATTTATTGCTTGATATAAAGTTGTGGCCACAACCTATGCCAGCCATTTCCTTGCACTGTGATAGTGAGGCTACAATGTCTAGAGCATATAGCAATATTTATAATGGGAAATCTAGACATATTAGTCTCAGACATACTTATATTCGAGAGTTGATCACTAGTGGAGTTATAACAATAATCTATGTAAGGTCTGCAGACAATCTAGTTGATCCTTTCACAAAAGCATTACCACGAGATGTGGTGGAAAGGATGTCATTAGGAATGGGGCTTAAATATTTAAATTAGGCATTGGTAATGGGAACCCAACTTTTATTTAGTCATTTCTAAATTTAAAGTTTAATGGGTAAGAGCAAGTTGTTAAATATGCTTGTTTAGCACTTGAAACATATTCCTACTTTAGTCAAGTGCTGTTTGTTGCGTTTGGAGGATGAGTGTAAACTCTTAATGGAGTTGATCATTTCTAAGTGTTTATAGCAACAGGGACATAAATAACTCCACCTAAATGGTCATAGAAGTGGTGCCGCTTCAACAAGAAGATGTTGGATTCTCTTGTAAATGACCATTATTGGCAGGATGAGCACATGGCCATAATAGTGCTAAAAGGTTTTAAACCTCTTAAATTAGGTAGACAAGTCTTATGTGTGCCACACACTTATGTCTAATATAAGTAGTTATGGTTTAATCCTTGGACACCAATAACTTCATTAGATATGAAGTATGTACACTAATGGAAGGTTTAAAACGAGAGATACCTTCTTTAAGCATGTTACTTGTCAAGTTGAACTGAATTAACATTTCTAAACTAGTGGGGGAATGTTGACTAGTTTTAAATGTTTGAGATCCCACATCAAGAAAGTATGGGAACTTAAAGGAGTTTATAAATACCTATTCTTTATCAACAAATAATTAAGTAAAGTGAAACCCAAGGGAAATTGGGTCTTGGCCCTTTATATATAGTCAAAAGATTGGCACTTTGGGCACCTTGGGGCTTGATTGCCAGAACATCTTTAATTTTTTTATTATTTTCAGATTATTTTATTTTATTTCATTAAATTATAATTTGGAAAGACATGTCTGAAAATCAAATATGATTATTGGCAGTCAAAATGTACCTCTATGAAATGGTGTCTTTTTGAAGGGATACATCCCTTCCAATAGTTACTTTTCAGGCATTATAAATTTCTATGCGAAGTCAAAGTTCTATATCTAATTCTGAGAGAGTTTTAAGTTCTGTTGTATTCTAAAGGATTTTAAATTCTTAAGAAAAGTGAGATCACGCCTCAGAACAATTTTTTTATTCTTTTGCTATTTCATTTTTCTTAACATAGAATACTTAATACAAAAATCCCCATGTCAATAGAACCAATTGCAGGCTATAAATCTGGTTATTATAACTATTTCATCCCTTTATTACTTTTATACAGTTGGGCTCCCATCTTCATTCCAGTTACAGCATAGCTACCATATAGCCCATTAGCCTTTGCAAGTTTATTTGCTGGTTTATTGTATACTGGCTATCTTTAACAACAGCCAGCATTAAACTTAATCTATTATGTCTACAAGTCATAAACATTCTCAAACACAATAAATAATTGATTCTAATCCTTAATCTCTACCTGCATGTCAAAAACCCATCACTAACAAGCTTTGTATGGTATTCTAACCCACTTCAAAAGACCATTGGTTTTTGCTAACGATTTCCCACTAGCTCCCACGCCACTTTGTTTTATGTACAAGACAAGTGTAAACATGACAAGCTAGTGTTAGTCAATCAAACACCACTAAGCAACTTTTACAATGCAACTGCCAACTTTCCTTTTCTTACAATCAAGTCCCTCCAATTAAGGACTAACAGGTTTTATTCTATGCATTTGAGGACAGGTTATGACACTCACACATTGATTATGTTCATTTTCCTTTTATTTTTCCATTGAGTTTGCAAAATTTCGGCCAGCAAGACACAATTTCATTGACTTTGATTTTTTTATGGGAATTGACTTGATTTTGGTTTCTGGTGTAGTCTGTCACTGTAATTTATGGCGGTGTTAGATAGTGTTTATGGTGAGATATGTAGTATATCATGTCATACTATGTTGTCTTTTTCATTTGGAAATATTTATAGGAGCATGCAGATATATTGTTAGAAATATACTATCAGATGGTTAATGTTGGGTCTAACTCTTGACTGTTCTTAACTATAGAGCTTTATTATATTTGGGTATGTGAAGTAATTTATTCCTTGATTCCAACCAGGAATGTCTTTACTCCTTTTTTCTTGGACTTGGTCTTTTTGCTTTCATTTCTTCAAAGATGTTCCTTTGCGGTCTCCATCTTTTATTTTTCTTTATCAGTATTCTCATCCCCAACCATCCAAGTGCTTGCTGTTGAGTTTTACTTTAAATGAACAGTTGTTTCCATAAGGTGATAAAAATGTTGCCGTTTGTCATGTGCCAGATTTGTGCTATGTTTTTCCTCCTGTTCTATTGTCTTGGTGCCTTCTTTCTGAAGGAAAGTAACACTACACTTTCATATCACACCATTTTAAGGACTTGTTAAAAATTATATCTAAAGCCTTCAATGTCTACTGTCACAGAAGCAAGTTATATTGCAGATGTTAAGATAAGTTTCTGGTCGCTGGACTGGACGTACACATTAGTAAAATCAGATGGGATCCAATACTTTTCGTAATCTTTACTCTTGTCGATAAGATGCATGAACAATTTCATCATACGGCCCTTTTTTCTTATATTCTTTTCTGATATTATAATTTATATCAGGGAAAAAGTGAAGATTTTAGTTGTGTTGAAGAGGCTCAAGTGGCAGGTCCATATTCCCAAGGCCAAGAGAGCGTAGAAATTATGCCCAATTCTAAAACTGACAGTTCCATGTGTCCTGGTTCTCATCCAAATAATCGCCGATTGCTTTCAGTTCCAGAATATACAGATACAGCATTGCTTCCACATGGTGCACAGGCATTGGAACATGAAAATGCTCAATCAGGTGAACCTTGTTTAACTTGAATATGTCTATTCCGTGACATCATAAATTGTGAATCTGTTCAATTTAGAAAATTTAAGGTAGTTTTCTGGATGATGAATACATTAATGCCTTTCATCTTCTACCGATGAGCATGACTGTTGATGCAGAATATAATCACCAAGCAAGTTCTGGATTTCACTCTGGTCTTGAGTTACAACAGCCTGCTGCAGAACAGATTGATGCTGGAGGCTCTTGTCCTTGTGTTCCTCCATTTAATCCTAGTAATAAAATAGTTATTTTTGTTATTCTATTATTTAGAATTATCTTTTAGCGTTCACTGATTCTTAATACTTTTTATTCTGAACATAGTTTTGATGAAGAATTTTTACCCATTCCTGGAATAGATTTGGCCCCCACCCAATCAGACAAGGGTAAAAGTGATAATGATGCTGAAGCAACGGATTACTCCTTGTTGGAATACATTAATTTTGAATTATTGAAAGATGATTCTGAAAGTTGTCCTCCTTTTAGTGAATCCATGGTGGATCAATCATCGTCTGTCTCCTGACATCCTAATACCATAGATGAGTTTCTCAGTGACAGCTTTGTTATAGGGCTGGACTTTAAGGAGCATTCACAGGTTTGTGCGGAATCAAAGGTACTGACAGAGTAACATTGCTAAAATTTTGATGAATCAAATTGCAGTATATATTTAGCATATTGCTTCTAGTTTAATTATTTTTAGTCTTTAATTTGAATTCCAAACTGGCTTCAGTTGAGGATTCTTCATCTTTATCTAAGCAGCCAATGGATTAGAAATTATATTCAGACTCAGCTTGTGATATAACTTCTAAATTTCATGAAAAAGAAGTTAATCATCTCGAATTAATGAATTTTGTTGATCTTCAGCAGGTACATCCAGATACAAGAAACGATAATTTTGTTGATTCTGGTGCCAACTCAGAAAAAGTTGAGAATGATGTTTTCAATATTCCCTCTGATGAGCAATCTTTGGGTGTCCCCATTTCATCTATTAATTTGGATAACCAAGATGATGTTGGCAGTGGACCAAAAGCAGTACAAAATATTAAAGAAATTAGGACAACTGCACCTAGCTTAGGGAATACATCAGAAGGCCTTCAAGCGGGCAAGGGAATGAATGACGATGATTTTGGATTATCATATGAATCCCAGGAGTTTGGGGGGCACCCAGAGATGCAAGAAAAGTATCAGGTACTAAGTGATTAATGTTTGCTAATGTGTAAATGCAATAAAGTGGACTATATATCTATGATTTCTGCCTCCAATTTAATTATATTCTAGGCTTCAAATTGCCTTTCAAACTGGTTTCTGACGTTAATCTCTTAATCTTTCTAAGTTGCCAATGGACCTGAAGTTGCACTCAGATTCAACAAACAAACAAACTATTAAATTCTGTGAACAAAAACTTAATTTACTGACTTTTTTTTGATCCTTGCCCGATGCATCCAACTGTGTGGATAGATTATGTTCTTCCAAATGATTCAGATGGCTACTTGAACATGGAGGAAAAATCAATCTACCCACCTGCTATAAGGCAGCATTTGCTTGATGGTTCTTTAACAGAAGGTTTAGAGATTGACAGTTTTATCTCCGGGATGAGTGAAATGAGTGAGGAAATTGGAGATGTTACTGAGTTAGATGAGTCACATATGCAGTACTGTGCTGGGCTCAACAGGGAAACGGTTTGGAATAGAAATGGAATTGCTGGATACCTTGCAGATCGCTCTTTGGATGTCCACATTCCATCCATTAATTTGGATCACCACGATGATGCTGCAGGAAGAAAAGCAGTCCAGAAAATTTCAGAAATAAGTGCGGCACCACTTGGCTTAGGGAATGCACCAGATTGCCGGTCACGAAAGGACTTATGAGCCACCAGTCTTCGTTCTCTTGAAGGTCGTCCGGGATTTCTGAAGTTATTGGCTGCAGCTGAGAGACCCCTTCGCAAGGGTTTGTTTCTTTTAAATTTTAATTTCTCTCGTTTTACCTTATTTTTTAAAATTCAAATTTAAGTAATTTTTAGCACATGCTATTCTTTTTAAAATATATAACCCCCTCCTGCAAAAGTTATTTTTAGCTTTTCAATCTTTTTAGAAAAAGATATTGTGTTAAACTTTTTATTATTATTAATTTTAGCTGTAAGACTTTTTAATTAATGATTTTGTTAATTATAACAGATGAGATTATACAAAAATTAAAATCTTATTCATAGAAATAATTTATTTATTAATTATTTTTTGGATTCTGTTTTTATTTTCTTATCTTTCTCAAGAATTTGAATAATTCTGAAAAAAATGGTGTGCTCGTTGTTAATTGTCATGGGCCACTCTGATGTTAGCAAACCTTATTCTTCAAGCAAGCATGATGTCTTTGATCCTTTTCTATACAGTCTCTTAATCCTAATAAACCTTTGTCATACATTCATGTTAAGTTGGCATGACGGAGACTTGATTCCGAATCGATGGATGTCATTCCTTTTGTTTATTCCTTTTGGATTGTTTTGCTAAAGAATGGAAAAAAATTTTCATAATTTTATTTTTCTGATCTTCCTTCTTTCTGGTTTGCAGCTATGGAGATATTAGTGTTTTATAAAATTTTACAGTTGGTGCAATGGTTTGTGGGTTCTATCAAACCGTACGACATTAGTGTTTTATAAAATTTTTAACATCATTGGTAGTGATTAATGATGAATTCACTCACAAATTGAAAAAGTTATTTGGAGAGGGGTTTTTTCGCATTACTAATTGAAAATTTTTAATTTTGTTGATAAATTAATTTAATTTAATTATTATTTTTACCACTGTTGAAGTATGTTTTTTTTTTTTGAGTGTGAAGAATTAATATCCCATATTGAAAAATTATACAAAGAAAAAGTGATTTATATATGTGAAGACCCATGAAATTAATAGATTAGTCTTTTAGTTTTAATGTGATATTGAAATCTGTAATGAATCGTGAGGTCAAAAAAAAAAAAAAAAAA